CAGTGCCGGGGCTTCTGGTGATACAGTGTCTCGAGTTTGACGACTCCAGGCAAAGGCAGTAGGGGTCCATCTTCTCCGTGGTGAAAACTGAGGAAAACCGAGGGTTCACATGAATGGGCAACGTTGCAAAGCCCCGGCTTCAGCTCTCCAGGCGGCCACCAGGAGGTTGGCAGAAGGAGCAGCGAGCCGCGAGGCGAGAGAGAGAGAGAGGGAGAGAGAGAGAGAGAGAGAGGCTGAGGGCTTGGCAGGGCGCAAAGCTTGGGTGGAGAGCCTTGGGGTTGAGATTCATTATCAAGCTTCGACCAGCAGGCAAGGCTGACGGGGCTTCAGTGGGACCGAAAGGCAATCTGTTCGGAGATGCGACTGCTACTTTTTGTGAGGAGGCCCCGGAGATGGCTGGGACAAAGGTGCCTTGGAAGGCCATCTGGCCTTGTGCTACCATGGTGCTGCTGATCTACATCTACCTTGCTGTGGGCATCTTCAAACTTGACTCGAAGGGCTACGAGCTACTCCAGGAGCAGGACGAGGAGGAGGAAGAGGAGGAGGACGACGAAGAGGAGGAGCGCAGGGATCCGGCCCTGGTGTTGGCAGCCGTGCTCTACTGGGTGGCGATGCCCATCGCTCTGGTCATACTGGGCTTCGGAGCCACCTGCGAGGAGGGTCCACCTAACTTGGCTTACATCACCTACGGAGTCTTCTTTGCTGTACATTTCCTGTGCATCTTCCGGGCCATGCTAGGATCTTTAAGGACCTCCACAAAAGCACTCCAAAGCTCATGCTCATGCTTGGCCTTGCTGCGCTGGAGCACTTCGACATGGCCTCGGATGCGCTCTTCACGGGGACATCCGCTGCCTGCAGTGACGAAATCACGAGTCTCTGGCTGCAGTCCTGGCGCGATGTCCCCGGCGGAGGGCTCATGGTTCCGATGCTCGCTAAGCTGGGCTTCTCCGGTGTGGCACTGACGCTGCGTCTGGGTCCTGTAGTTAGGATGCTTCGAGTCTTTGTGCTCCTTTGAGTTGGGTGCCTTTGATCGTAAATTGTTCTACTGAAGGGCTAGGCGCCTGGTAGCCTTGGATGCCAGGTTCATTACGAGTGCCTACCTTCCTCAGCTGCTCTCGGTTATGGCTCCGTTCGCCCCCTTTGTGGCGCTGGTCTTCATTCTCTTGGTGATGCTTTGGGCATCCTTCGGCTGGCTCGTCGGCTTGGCGGGAATGTTAGCCGTCTACGCGCTGGTGATCTGCAGCCCCATAGGGACGTTTCAGATGAGCTTTTTCCACCAGCAGGTCGACTCTGAGGACCTTCGCCTTGCCTTGTACATCGGTGCCGAGGTCGTTGACCTCCGAGGAAAAGGAGGACCAGACACCGGCGCTGAGGCAAGAGTCGCATTGATCCTCGGCACGAAGCTCGTGCTGGAGAACTTGCTGCAGCTGTGGCTGCAAAGCTCCTACTTGTCCCTCTCCTTCGACCGCATGGACACCTTCGCTCGCTGCCAGGCGATGGCCTCCATCGGTGTGGGACTCCTTGTTGCAGGCGACTCGAGCCGAACCCAGAGCCCATGGCCACTGTTCACCATAGCCCCACATACCTGTTTGACATCTCTTAGGACCGTCTTAAGAGGTTGAACTGAGCTGGCAGTTCTTGGACTTGGACCCTGCAGGTGGCAAGGGATTGCAGATCGCCGCAGTCGTAGTGTCAGCATTTGAAAGGGGCGCTGGCAGGGCTGTCCGAGGATGTGACATCTTCACGATAATCTTGGGTGCCGTCGCAGTCGTCATGATGCTGGGCGGCTTCGGAGGCCTCGCATGGGTCTTGGCGAAAGTCGTCTTCATCTTCCGGTGCGACTCGCATGTTTGGAACCTTTCCACCGGCTGCGTCAGCCCGCAGTCGTAGAAATTCAAAAGGCCTGATGCCGAAGGCACCAGAAAGAAGCTCGCCGAAAGTCGGAGAGCTTGTGAATTGCTGACCCTTTTCTATACTCAGCGGGATGCACGCTTGTACAGGTCTTTGCTTCATGGTATCCGGATCAGAGGCTTGTTTTTGAACACGTTGTCGTCTGATGTGCCCTTTTCTGACTGATGGGCTGCGATGGACGCATAGTGACTCGAATACGTAGTGAAGGACGGCGAGGCACAGGACATTCTTCGCAGCCTAGAAACCCAAGGGACCGGACGCCGAAGGCGCCTGAAAGGAAGCTTCTCTGAAGTTGGGGAGGTCCCCATGAACGACGGACTGACTTGTCGACTTGTCGGTGCAACGTCTCAAAACCAGGGCACAGTCCGTCTTCCTTGCCTTAGCGAAGCCGTCACTCGTGTCCGAGGGGTTTTTGGTCGCACGCGCTCAGGCACATGGCCGGAAACGCAGGCCGATCCGTTGCCCGGACCTGAGCAGACTGAGCTCCCTGATATTGCCTCATGCCTGCGCAAGTCTGCACGAGTTGACGGGCTTGAAGACTGCAGAGTCAAAAATAGTATTGCTATAGGCTATAGTAGTCTTAGCAGTAGCAATAGCAGTAGCAACAACAACAACATTAGTATTGTAATAATAGTAGAACTGAAAACAGTCACCATCATCATCATCATCATCACCATCATCGGTATCGCGCTGCCGACTTGGCTTGGCAGAGTCTGGTCATGTCCCGTGAAGACGTTGGCCATGCAGCTGAGAATTCTGCCCACGCCCAGCCGCCCCTCTCGAATACATGTACAACATAGTACAGCATAGTGCAATACCATACACTCTGCTGTAGCGTAGATCGTGTAATGTTAGTGTTCTATTACATGATCGCTCTCTCTCTCTCTCTCTCACTCTCTCTCTCTCTCGCTCTCTCCTTTGCTTCTGTCCTTAATAAACCCACCGAAGAGTCGAGGGCCCGGGTCGAGGGTTGCAGGCTTGGGGCGTTTGGGCTTCAAGGTTTTGAGGCAGGTGGTGTGGGATCCACTTCGTATCAGGTTTCGGCTGTTTTTTTTGCAACGTGCCGTGTTGTGGGTTCGCTGTCTTTGGTCCCAGCGTCATCAGCTTAGAATGCTTTGCTGGCTTGGCTGTTCTTCATACGACCTCTCTTGCTGACAAGAGGCCTGGGCCGTGGCCCAGGCTAGATCCAGCAGCGTCGGTTTATGGCTCCACCGGACGTTGCAGTGAGAACTGACGTGTCCTCTAAACCCAAAGCTTCATAAAAGGCCCAGAGTTTTGGGTTCAGGGTTTGGGACGACAACCTGGTACTACGCGGGAGGCCCCAAACCTTAGCTATACCATCATGCAGCCATCTTCGAAGTTCTGTTTTCCAAAGCAACTGAACTTTGAACGCCTGCAGTGTAGCCAGTGTCCGATGCTCCTCCGCAAGGGTGCACTCTTAGTTTGTGTCCAGGCTCTTGGCTCTGCAGCGCTGCTCTGGCTAGCCTATCCCCCAAAAACCGGGCCCTCTACCCATGGAATCGAAACAGGGCATCCCGTCGAACCCGAACCCGTTGGTTCAGCCCCTTGAGGCCCTTCTTTCAAGCATGTCACAAGCAAGAATGCACTCTCCAAGAGATCCTTCTCAAAGCCCCTACTCACCTCGGCCGCTTGGGGCTTAGGGATTAGCGTTTAGGGTTCTGCCTCAGGCCGGTGTCTTCCTCGGATGCGAGCCGTCGAGAGAGACCCGCGGTACGGGCAAAAGGGCCAAAAGTTCTGCCATAGAGCTTTGAGGGTTCCTGTAAGTTCCATGTGGCATTATGGTATCCAGCACCCACAGCCGGAAGAAATCGGGCGACGAGGTTGATTGAGTGATGTCGGCAATCCTTGCCACATAGGTGCTTATTGATGTTTGGAGGATTATGCCAGAACCCTAAACCC